AAGTCTCCAAATGAAGCATTCATGGGTCTTAGTTGCAAGTAACAGAAGGCAGCTTCAGCTAACTTAAAGGAGGAAGAGAAGGAAAAGGAAAAGAAAGGAAAGGAAGAAGGGAAGGAGGGAGGGAGAGAACTTGGAGGAAGAGAGAAGGAGAATACAATGAGAACCATGAGGAAGATGGAGAAGGGGCAGAAGGGAGGCAGAGAAGGAAAAGAAGAGTAGGAAAGGGGAGAGAGGGATTTATTAGAAAGCTGCCTGGCCCATAGAACTAAGGGGAATAAGGAAGAACCAAATAAGCAGAGCCAGAGGAAAGTGAAGAGGCAGAACCACGGCCAAGATCAGTCCCCAGAAGCAGCCAAATCCGGACAGCTGTCCACTCCTGCTGGGCTGAACCTTCCCCACCTCCATCTCTGTGCCACTAGCTCCAGATTCATTGGTATCCAGCTGCAAATCCAGGGGTCAGGGACAGCATGTGTACCTGGATGTTTTGGTTCCCTCTGTGTAACGTGGCATTAAGTACAGGACATAGAGGAGAGGAATGGTACCACCTGGGCAGGGAGGCACAGACCCTGCAAGTGGGCTGCTCTCTTCCTAGGAAGTTGTCAGAGATGGAGTTAGATAGAGCCCACTGTTATGGCTTATATCTTGATGTCCCCTAAAGCCTCATGTGGTCATATATAGGACATTTCGAAGGTGGCTGGAGTAGGGTGGGTGATGCTGGGATTAAGGATGTGATACTAGGATTTAATGGTGTAATGCTAGGATTAAGGGTGCCCTACCCTGAGTGTGAGTGCTACACATCCTAAGGGTGGGGAGCTTAGATGGAACATATGGGACAGAAAGAGGGCTGCTGCTATTGCTTGCTACTTGGCTACTTTGCTGCCTTCTGCCTGCCCTGCTTTGCCATGAACTGTTTCTCCTCTGTGATGCCCCCTCTGGCATCCCTCCCTGCCTTGGTGCCAGCTGACTATGGACTGGACAGCATCAAACTGTGAGCTGAAATAAACCTTTCCTCTTTTGAGTGTTGGATATTTTGTCTCAGCAACAAGAAAAGTAACTATGGTATTCACCAAACCCTTGGCAGATGGAGCAAGGGCTGTGGCAGCCCTACCTCACACAAGGACTCAGCAGTGAGGACCCCAAGGGAGGGCAGATGAAGGAACAGAGTGGGAGCCAGGCCTTTTTCTTCTACCTCCCTGGATATAAGGGGCCAGGGTATGGGCAGCCAGCCACATGAGGCAGCTCCATGAAGCACCACTGTGGCCTCACTCAGGTGTAATCCTTTAACCTGGCCAGAGATGAGTCATTACAGAAGGAGCTGACCTGGGCTCAGCTCAAAGGATCACAAGAAGAGGCCAGGTCCTGACATAAAGGTGCTGTGTATTCTTGGCAAAGCCAACCATATACCATCTCTAGACCTTGGGATATGCTTCTGCCAAAGAAAGAAGTAGAAAGTAAGGTGAACTCACAAGATGGTGAGCTCCCTATTCCTAGAGGCAATCAAATATATGACCTTGAATAGTGATGGTCTATTGATGTCCTTTTCTACGACACACCCACAGCATCATCCCCAGACTGTGAAACCCTTAAGAGTAGTGTTTGTATCTTTGTGGCAAAAGCCCGGTACAGGACTTGGTACAGTGGCTGGATGAACAAAGGAATAGGGGGAAGAGGAAGGAGGGTGACGGGGCAAGAGAGGATGGTACAGTGCCAGACAGGAAAGAGGCCCGACCATGCCAAGCTGAAATTTCCCATCAGGGCCTGGGTGCCATGTATGTGATCCCCAGGCCCACCCTACCCAATGGTCCTCTCCCATCTGGTCCTTCACTTCTCCGTCATCAGTTACTTCCTTCTCTTTCTACCCATATGGGTGAGAATGCCATTCTAAACCAGGCCCCACAAGCTGCCTCCTCCTGGAAGCCTCCCCAGCTCTTTGCCATCTCTGCCTTGGCTCTGCTCTGCTTTGGCCTTGTTCTCATGAAAGACAGGTAGGTGGGGTGGAGTAGCCCTCAGACGGTGTCTCCTCTACCAGGCCCAGAAGAGAACAAAACAGGGGTTAGAGCACCCCAGACAGACTCTACTCCTGGTTTCGCCAGATGTCACTCTGTGGCTTTGGGCAAATCATGTCACTGTCTAAGCCTCAGTGTCCGAATCCATGAAATGGGGAGAGGTAAAGATCTCGTGTTATGTGGAGGTTATGATGAAAGAGAGAACGGATGAGAAGGATGGGGACCCTGGCAGCACTGGACTGGGGTGAGCAGCTGCGTGAGACAGGAATTCCTGCTCACCTTGGGAAAGAGGGGCACAAAAGGGGCCCAAGCCAAGGAAGAAGGAAGTGGGGACTCAGCCAGTCCAGCCTGGCAGCAGGTCTGGTTGGTGTGTAGAAAATCATAGTAAAAGTCAGACAACAAGACAGTGAACTTCTCCTGAGTGTGGGCACTGCTCTCAGGGCTTGAACTGATTTATGGCTGCACTAGGCTGGAGCTTCAGAAGAGAAGGCTCTGAGCATTGTCTCCTGGGGTTCATGCTGGGGAATGTCAGCCCCGAGGCCCGGATTTGCACAGCCTGACTCTGAGCTCCTAACTATTCAGCTGATCCAAATGTCTTGTCTGACCAAAAGCCCCAGAGCAGAGCAGCTGCTCTCCTGCCTCCAAGCAGATTCAAATCCCCCACCCACCCAACCCACAGGCCCTTCTGTTCTGGCTCGTGTCTCACAGCGCTTCTCAAGCCTCTCACAGCCCACCTGCTCCACAGCACTCTTGGGTCTGGCTCGAACCCTGGGCATCGGCTGCTAGACACTGGTGCTCACCAAGGCCTCTGGGGACCTGCACAGACCCTGTGGGCACTTTGCGCTCGTCTGGCCTGTACTTCTGCTGCATGTGGCCCTGCTGCTCACTTCCTCCCTTGCAACTGTCTCTTCACTTGGCTTCTGGGGCACTGCTCACCCCAGCTCCCCTGCGGTGCTCTTCCTAGCCACCTCCACTTCTGATTTCCTCGGACGCTCGGCACAGTTTTTCACAGCTCTGACCTCCACCAGCTGGGTCTACAGTCAGAACCAATGCCCACATCTTCTCACTGTGCCTGGCCACCTTTGATACCTGCTCTTGAACAGGTGGATTCCACTTTCTGAGCTCTGCCTCCCATCACTCAAGTGGAGGACAGATTCTTTCCCTATGGGCTTGTGAGATTCGTGAAGCATCAAGGTGCTAGGGTGCTGGCTTTGCTCCCTCTCTGCACTTGGGTGCTTTGACAGGGGATGGGGTAAGAGTGGGGCATGCTCCCTCACTTTCTGTCTGCTCCTCCTTGCCAGTGACATTTCACAGCTAGGACATCCAGACTGCCACGGGCCACCCCAGACTTTAGCCCCTGCAATTGAACACTGAAAGAAGCTGCTACTGAGTGTGTGTGTGCGCGTGCATGTGCGTGCGTGTGGGTGTTCTGAGGGGTGCTGGTCTCTTCCTCTTTGTATTCTAACTCAGAGCCCTCTCCTGATGGGAGCCAAGGGTGGGGTGAGACACCCCAAGTCCTCACTATATTCTACCCCTCCCTCAGGGTCCCCAGGGCTTCCCGCCCTTCACAAAGGCCACTTGTGCATCATCAAGCCAAGTGCATATTCCCTCCCACCCCCGCAGTGGAGCAGGGCCTTTGGGATGGGTTTCAAAGGGCCTCTAGCTTTATCCCTTTCTCTTTCTCATCCTGGAGAGCCCACCCCACACCACCCCCGTTCAGGAAAATTATACCAGCTCCTAATGGGAGTGGAAGGGAAAGCATCCTGCTATTCATCCCAGCGGTTGAACGGACCTCTTGAGCATCCATTGTGCCCATTGGGCTGCCTGGGCCTCAATTGCAATCAGGTGGTCTCTGTGCCCACCCCACCCCCCAGCCCGGGACAGGAACGGACTCAGGCAATGGGCCGACCCACAGAGTTCTCCGTCCATCCACTCAAGGGGCTTTTGTTGAATAAAATAGCACCCGCCACTCGGCCACTTTAAACTGAGGCCAGGCACTTGAATGTGAAAATGGGCCCAGGCGCTGGGAGTGCAGGTACAATGGCCACCCTCAATTAGCTCACTGAGGTGCCCCAAATGGACCTGAGGAGGGGCCACAGCCACAGCCTGTTCATGCATATTTATCACAAGCTGCTGCGCCTGGGCTTGAAGGTTCCCATGGCAGCTCCCAGGGAAGGCAGAAAGGAAGGGTGGAGGGGCGCCCGGGCCCTGTGGGGTCTGTGACTCAGAGGGTGCTCTGGAGTTCTCCCCAGCAGACTGCAAAGTGTTCCCCAGCCCCATGGCCCTTTGCCTTTACTTGAACCTTTGGCTTGTGGCCAGTGTGACCTAGCAATCAGACAGTTAAGAGCATGTTGGCCATGCCCACTCAACAGGTTGGGGAGTGGAAACCTGGAATCAAGGAAGACCAGCTGTTTTGTTTTTCCAGTGGACATGTAGAATGGGAGGAGGTCAGTAATAACGCGAGCATTTATTGAATGTTTACTAAGTGCCAGGATCTGTGTTACTTTCCTATCAGGGCTACAAGACAAATGCTGAATTTTCTGCATTTAGGAAACTGAAACTCTGGAACAGGCGGATGTAATATCCCCAAGATCTGGTGGTTGGAATAAACAGCAGAGCAGTTGCTCACCCAGGTGGTTTGTCTCCTCTGCCCCAGGGCCAGGTCTCCCTACTGGCTGCTGGGTACAAATGGGTAGGGGCTCTGCTGTTTGTCACAAGTTGCTGGATGCCAGGTTCTATGCCAAATTCAAGTTACCTCCTTAGACATTCACAACAGTATGGGACAGCTCCTTCTTCTCTTCCACCTCCTCCTCTTCCTCTTTTGTACTTCCTTTTTCTTTTTTTCTGGAGCCTCGAGAGTAAACCTAGGGACTTTACACTGAGCTATATCCACAACCTTTCATTCATTCATTTTTTTGGAATAGGGTCTTGCTAAGTGTGTCAGTGCTTATTAAAGAAACAGATTTAATACAAAATATAGAAATATATAAGAATTTATAAGATTGGCTTAAAATGGCCGCCCACAGAGTCAGGTGAGGAAAAGAGCAAGATGGCTGTCTGTAGGTTGGAGATCTGAAGGACCCAGTCACAGGCCTGAAGCTCACGGTAGTGTCTTGCAATGCAGTGCCAGTCCATATCAGAAGACTGAAGGGTCTGTGCTGGAAGCCAAGAGACAAATCCAAGGTGGAGGTGAAAACTGCAGCTCCCCCAGAGAAACAGAAGTAAGCCTTCCTTCTTCGTTTCCTTTTTATTTCTTTCTGGTGACAAGGCTACTGAGAGTGGATCTTCCGTCTTCAGTGAATCCCCTCAGCCACACCCAGAACTATGTTGATCTAATTTAGTTGGGATTTCTTACTCAAGTTGATACAATCAGTTAACTATCACACTAAGTTGCTAAGTTATCCAGGCTGGGCTCAAACTTGCAATCCTCCTGCCTCAGCTTCCCAGAGTGCTGGGATTACAGTATGCATCGTCATGCCTGACTAAAGATCTCCATTTGCCATACGTGGAGACTAAGGTTCAGAGAGACAAAGTGCCCTGTCCTAGCCACACTCAGGGCTAACAAGTAGCTATGAGCTAGGAGATTAGGGTTAGCAAAAGCTGACTGGGGAAGTAGGCTTGACCTGTTAACTACAAGATCCCGGACACATGCACAGAACAGTTCCCAAATCCTTGCATGTGAACTTCTCTTGAGAACTCAAGAGGTTTTCAATAGGATGGCCTAGACCTGGTATCAGCCCAAGGTGTGAGATCGCTACACCACCTCTCAGGACCCAGATGTAGAAGTTCTCGTGGGTTTCCTCAAGATTTGGACAGTATAAAAGAAAGGCAGCTACAAGGAGCTGGTGCTACCATAAGTTTCCGTGATAGCCCATGTGGTATTTCTAGATGCAGTGTGTACTTTTATCTTTGCTCTCACCCTTTTTCTACTTACTCAGTCCAAGCTCACTGGAGAGCCAGTTTCTCTCCCACTCTTCATTTTTGCTTTCTTGAATAAACTTGGCCACTGCTTTTTGCTTGTTTCATTCAATTCTTCATTCAAGGTGAGAACCTGGAATTCAACTCCAGAAGGAGAGGCCAGCCAATCTAGAACCCATTAATGTTTAGTTAGCAAACCAGTTTTTAGAAACAAGCCATCCAATAATAGCAGGGCCAGTGTAGAAGCCATGCATACTAAGTTGGGGATCTCCAGCTTGTTCCCCTGCCTTTCTGGAGCTCATGGCTAAAGAAGCCAACCTCTTATTCCAAATTCTGTTGCGCTGTGGGGAACCTCAGTGGCTCCCCCATGAGAGCCTATATGTGTGTAGAGGTACAGCTGGGCCTCCTCCAGAATTCTCCTCAGGAGACAGAAGAATCCAGCAAGGAGCTAGAAAGATGAGCCAGATCTCTTGAGCAGAGCTATGAGGTTCTCCTCCCTCTGGGGAGCTAAGCCTTTGTGAGGAGCTCACAGCATCAGCCAGGATGCAGGCAGGTAGGGAAGGTGGACAGAGCTGCCTCCCAACCCAGCACAACACTGTAACAGTGAGAGCTCCCAGGTCCATCCCAGCCTGCACCCTCTTGGTGCTTCCTGTCCCAATGTCCTATGGTAGCGAGGCTCACCCAGCTCATTGCACGCTGTTCTTACTGCCCCCAAGCAAGTGTTCTTGAATCCATACATCAGCTTCTCCTTCTTGGAGCTGAGTTGTGATGAGTTGAGTTAGTTGAGTCAAATCTGAGCAGCTGGTTTGGGTTGAGAGCTGTTGGCTGTTTGGTTTGGGTTGGGTTGAATTGTTGAGTTAGATTACTGCCATGCTGAAAGGAGATAAGTTGAAGACCATTGTATTGCTAAAATGAGTTGAGATGAGTAGAAGGAAAGACTTAAAGAAGCAATCCTAGCCTAACTTCCATTAACTAAAGGACAAACCTCAAGCTAGTAAGCTCCAAGGAACAGCCCCCTCCCCAACCTAGATAACCTAGGATTCCAAGAATCAAGGATCTCAGAGGCAGAGTGGGTACGCTTTCCATTCTGTCCCTCATTTACTATTGGACACAACTCCTCCTTGGGCTGGAAAGTAGACATGAGCCTCTGCGACAATTTTCTCATTTTTATCAGTGGCCCCCTTCAAGGTCAGAGGATCATGACATCTAGCAGATATCAACATAAACCTCAAACTCCTTGCTTCTTAGATAGAATATAGATCCACAGAAGTCAAAGATACTCCCAGGAAAAGAACAACTGATTCATGGTCATCAGGTCTGATACTGTCCCCCATACCTCCTGTCCCCAAAGCCAGGACCCCTCCACATCCCTCTTGATGGGTCTGCCAGCCTCTCCTCTGCTCCTCAGAGGTAGGGAGCTCTGTCCCTCAAGGGAATCACAGTTGTGCCTGGTGGGAGAGAAGTCTGGACTACATTCAGGCTCCTTGGCTTCCTAGCACTGTAACCCAGGCTAATAATGGTTTCCTTCTGAGATATTTATGAGAAGGGCTTTATGGGAACAAATAAGATAAAATGTACAGAGCATGTAACACCGCACCTGGCATGCAAGGAGACTTCATCAGAGGTAGTTTTTCTTTTTACCAACATGAATCCTACTATTGATGTTACCACTGATGATACGAGGCATAATTGAGCAGCCTAAATTGTCAGAAATGCTTCCCCACCTCCTAGGCCCTACCAGACCTGGGTAAATGGATAAAGGGGCAAGTTTATCACCAACTCCTGCCTCATTCTCTCATTCTCTCCCTTATTCATGCATAAGAAAAGCTGCTGCCCTCAGATGCTGATTCCCTCAGCTGGGGATGGTCCTGGTCTCAGCCTTTTCTGGGGCACTGTAAGGATCCCCTTCTCCTCTCTGAGCTGCACTGTGCACAGCTATAGAATGGATATTCTTGTCTTGGGGCTGACTTGTCTTTGAGGTGGCCCCAGCCTCAGACAGCCACAGTCATGTTTGCAAGCCCTGTGCTCCTCCACCCTTCTTCCTGCCCTTCTCCGGGCAGAAATCTCCACACTGGTCAGGCCCAACCACTTTCTCTCAGGAATCTGCATCACTATTCTAAACTCTCCTCAACTCAGTCACTGGAGGAAAGGAGTCAGCCACATGCACACCTAGAGACCTGTGCAGTTTGGCACTAGAAGCTAGAATCAAGATCATTGTGCACTCCGTGGTGAACTGAGGTCCTCAGACAGGTAAAGGGCCTTGCCCAGGACCACCTAGCAGATAAGAGGCAAAAATCAGGTCTCCCATTTGGGTTTCCGGACTTCCAGCCCAGTCTCCCTGTCTCTGATAGCAGTGTGCCTACCTAGCACACAATAATTGAGCACTGGCTACATACCAAGTACTAGCAATATCAAGATAAGAGGAACTTGGCTCATACTATTGAGGAATTTCAAGAAAGTCCTTGGAAAGAGATTCAGTCATTTGTTCATTCAACAAACACATAAGTGCCTACTTTGGGCAAGTCAAAAGACACCTCAGACCTGAAGGCAAGCTTCCACTTCTCCTGTGGCCTGGCCCCTGTGGTGGGATGAGGCCTGGTGGTCAGGCAGGCCACCCACCTCCTCCCCAAGGGACCAACAGGCATGAGCTCATGTCTGCAGAGCTCTGCAGCTCTCAGAGCAGGCTCTCAACACAAGGCCTCCTTGTGATTCAAAGAGATGCAGTGGGCACTCTAGCCCTGAAGCCCTGGGCACTTGGGTCTGTCAGCAGACACTCCCACAGCTGAGGGTGCTGAGCTTTGATATGGCATTAATTCGCTAATATCTTAATCCGGCCACCACCCGCCAGCTGCCTGGCCACACAGTGGGGCCCTGGGGACGGGGTTTCCAAATTACATTATTGAATGTTTACCTAGTGAGCAATCCAAGGAGTGTTTAACACCAGCTGAGGGCAGCGCATGTGCACAGGGCGGCTGCACACCCACAGCCCACACACCACACACAGTCACACAATCCCTGCTGAGGCACACTGGCCCATGCTTGCAGAGCCCACATGCAGCACAGCCCTACAAATGTGCAAGCCCACACACACGTGCACATGCATGCACCCCATGCGTCATAGATGGGCACACTCCCCACGGACCCACATCATGTACACATGCGCACACGTACCGGAATCATTCATGTCACCCTCATGTGCCACCATGCCAGAGTGCCTGCCTTTTCTCACCTCATACTGTCACCCTGAAAAGACTCCTGTCAGCTAATCCTGGGAAGGGCTGGAGGCAGGAGGGTGTCCCTCCACTTGCCCTCAAAGTCACTGCTGCAAGAGCCTTGGAACTAAGAACCCAACCTCACCAGGCTCCCTGACCCCAGTTTCCAAGTTCAAAGCCACTCACTGCCAGAGCTCCCTGCTGGTGCTATCAGTGTGACCATGGAAATGGCAGTGCACACCTGGCCCTGCCTCCTGCTGGGATCCCCGGCCCTGCACCTCCTGCCACCACTAACTATTCCCTCCCTTCTCAGCCTTTCTACTTGCTGTTCTCACTGCCTGTGTGCCCTCATGTCCACAAATGCAAACTACTCAGTCTTGAAGTTCTCCCTCAGCATCCGCAGTGGGTGAACTTGAACTTTATTACACATCTCTGGGCCTCACTTTCCCTATCTGTGAAAAGGAGATGGATTCGAAAGGGTCATAGCTAACACGGAGCCCACAACTCATCCTTCCACCTTCACATACCCTACAGGCAGGCACTGTTATCTTTTTTTCCCAGAGGAGAAAACACAAGATCAGAAGGAGTAACTGGGAAGGTGAGCCGGTCCCAGTACCTGAAAGGAAGCTTGCCCACCGCCATCCCATGCTCCTAGGGCAGAGAAGGTGAGCTGGTCCCAGTACCTGGAAGGAAGCTCCCCCGCTGCCATCCCATGCTCCTAGGGCACAGAAGGTGAGCCACTTGGGTGCCAGAAGCACCCTCCTCCCCGTTGAAATGAGAAGACACGTAAACAAGCCTCAAAACAGACTTCTGGGTCACCTACAGCAACCCCAAAGGGAAAGGAGATGGAACAATCTGATACTCAACCACCTAGACTCTCTGAACTGGCAACAAAAGAGGATCTGGGGAAAATGAAATCAGAAATAATTACTCAGATAACAGCAAAGATTGTGCTCATAGTGCAAGACATGATTAATAAATCTAGAGAGGACACAGATAAAAAAAAAATAGAGGATCTGGGGAACATAATGGAATCCCAACATAGGAAACAAATGGAATCCATAAAACAGATGCAAACAGATTTCTAGGAGAATAAAAACTCCATTGAAAGTCTGCACAGCAGAATGAACCAATGTGAGGATAGAATTTCAGATATAGAAGATAAGATTGCAATTAGTGACCAGGAAAA